TGCATGGCAGCAGAGAATGTAAACTAGCAGCTTTTTTGTAAGCAAAGATGCCTTATGTAAGAAAATTACTGTTCTTTCCATTGGCATAACCTTGATTAACGTAGCATCAGTGCTTGCAACAGCAAAGCCTGCAAGCCTAAGCTTGAAATTTAACCGAACCTGTGGGATACTGCTGACAGAACAACTGCAGAACCAGCTAGAATCACTGAGTAAACAGGAAGACCGCACAATGGACCAAAAGTTGCATGTCACTGATAAGAGAGCAAGAATAAATGATCTGCCAAGAAGATAGAGGAAGGTGTGAACGTAGTGTGTCCAACTTCTGGGAGGAATAATTAACAATGTATTCGCTTAACTTTAGCTTAGCAACTAAGTTAACTAATGGCAGTAGAATAAGACCCTTACCTTAAAATTATATTGGAGGAATGATGGAACGCAAAACTAACGTACAAAAGAATTATGTGACTCCCAGAGCGGGGTCCCTCTTTGGAGGCACCCAGGTCAACCTGAAACAAACGATCGTATGAGTCTGACTCTGACTTAGCGGTGAATGCCTGGAGACCTTTTTAACACCTTAAAAAGAAAAAAAATATATCCAATAAGCTAGTAGACAGCTATAATAATGAACTAGTACCCCTCTACGCCTTCAAAGAATGATTGTTAAAACCTGCATGTCACTGTAAAGCAAAGTGGGAGGGGAAAGTGCAGAGAGATGGAAGGGAGGCGAGTATGTCGTAATATCTAAACAGAGCACATAGGTTGCTAATTTAAATAAAGATGATGGTAGTACCATAATATTTATTATGTCAACATCCACTGAAAACAATATTACACTGCTGATATCAAAGACTGATACTTTTCTCTCTCCAATATGTTGTTCAATATCAAAAAGTCACAGTTTGTTCTAAGTTACTAAACTTGAACAAAAAGAAGGACCTTGAAAATCAAGGTGTTTCCCTACTGCTATTGTAGCAGGCCATCGCGTTATACCGTGCCTCATCACAGAAGAAAAACAAAAGAGCGTGCAAACTACGTATCACTTAGGACAGAAGTTTCTCTTTTTTGGTATAAAACTGATAAGTGTTTTCGTTGTTCTTACTTCTTGTCATGTGTTATTTCTAAAACTTTAATCTAGATTTCACTTAAAAGCTATCTGTAGGCCACAGGAATTACTCCATTTTTTTCACTAAGCAGCATAAATTAAACAATCCCATGACTGTGAATTGTCGACAGATAGCAATGATGCCACTAGCAAATGCAAAACAAACAGCCAAAGTTGCACAGAAAACGCACATATGTCATGCAGGAAAACACCTTTTTTGAAGGATATTTTAAAAGCGTACAGCTAGAACAGACAACATTACAAACTATATTTATTTCTGTCAATGCTAATAAAGTACCTCAACTATCACTATTCTAAAAAGTCAAACATGAAGGTGAATTAAACATTATGGTCTGCACTGTGCAAAATTCCCAACTAGACTATCTATAATAGTGCCTTCTACCCAAACCTACATGTATATCTACATGTATAATCACAGATTTTGCATTAAACAGTTTTAATTGTACATTACGGTGGCAAGCATAATTTGCTCATTTTGGAGATGAGAAGTCCTATAAACTAAAATCGAGCCTCAAAAGACAGAATTTACAAAGTCCCCTTATATAGAGTCTCCTAGGCTGTGAATGGTAGTAAAATGCAGCAATATGTTGGCAGGTATGTCACAAAACATCTGCATTCCTTAATCGAAACTTCCTCTTAGTCACAAAGAAATCTCTATGAAGTTATTGTCTTCAGGTTGTGGAAAATTAGAAAAAAAAACAAGTTCCAAGGAGCAAGGGACAAAAAGTGTGTAACAGACTCAAAGGTCACATAAGACAGCAACTATTTCCTATAAGCTAAGTTTGCTAAGACCTCCTTCTGCAATGCCTGCTTGTTAAGAATCTCTGACCAGAGGATCCCATTTATTGTACATGGTATATAAAAGAAGATAGACAGACGATTATTAAATAAACGCATGTGAAATTGAATTGCCTTCTTGGCGCAAGAAGGCAAACAGAAGGTTTGTGCCTTCTGTTACAAACCCTACTGATGTATTATTTGTTTTAAGATAGACCTGCTCGGCACTAACCAAGATCTAGAACCCCATCATACTAGCTGTTCTGCCAACACAGTTCCTACTCAGAAGGTTTGTAGTCTCAGTATATAATGAGCCTCAATAGGTGGATACAATTAACAGAGACGGAGGCAGTAGGAGACAAGGTAACAGAAACACAGTAAGCAGTTCTCTGAGATCATCAGCTGTCTCGCCTTCGTGACTGCATGCTTTGGCTTTTGCACTGTAACTGAGGATGCTCTATCTGTCACAATTTTGCTTTATGCAAAGTACCAGTAAATGAGTTAGACACCTACTATTAAAACATATAAATGAATAGAAAACTCTTTTCCCTGAGATGCTCAGTTTAGCCATTTTATTTATTCTCAATCCATTTTTATTCTTGTCTTCCCTATGGAATTCGTGCAGAATAAATTCCCACTCTCAACATCTGTTAACGTAGGAAGATATTAGCAATACTGAAAATCCCGAAGTAGAAGGATTTCCAACTATACAGAAACTTTCAACACTTTGCCTGTAAGTCTTATCCCTAGTAAGATAAGCAGACAGTAATCAAGTTTCTGAGAGTCCACAAAAGAACTTCTGCTGCTTCTCATACACACTGAAGTGATATTTCTTTCTTCACTCAAAATAGACTTCATAGCAAATGATAACTAGAAAGCCCCCGGACCAAAATTTGCACAAACATTGGTTTTTTAGTGTCAGTGTGGTATCTTGGGGACAGCTGATAGTTTTCCAGACTTCATTTCCCCAAATACGTACTCCACAAACATCCTCCTAAGGGTGCAGGTTTGAGTTTTAAATGAAATGTTGCATTCTGGAAGGTAACCTTCAGAAGAAGAGAATTATGTTCTCTCTCTCAAAAAGCAAAACACATGCACACACACCATAGCACATATGGGAAACCACACATAAGGAAAGCCTGATAAGTATGTTTACGTTATAGGGGCTTGAAAGACTTTCTGTACTCAATCTTATAGTTGTAGCCTGACAGCTGATGGCAAATTACTGAAACTCCTCAAAGATCCCCAAACAAAACAAGACACAACCGCTTCTAACACAGAAGCACCAGGCAGAAAAGAAGCGGGAGAGCCAACTTTTTTCTACCCTATAAAGCAAAACACTGCTACGCTTAGCAATAATAGTTAGAATCACCACCAATGCAGAATAGCCCTTCCGGATATTTAGCTTTCATCTCAGAATACACAAGACACCCTTCAAAAACCCAATAACATGTATTGCAATGCAACTGGTGTCTACTGTCAGCGGCTGTCCCAGCGCAGACCTGGAAGTTATAGAAGGCATTTTGATGCATAACAACAAGTAAAAGTAAAAGCAAGGCAATACAGTACAGTCAGATTCCGCAGTTTTTCCTCATGTACCTTTTCAGAGCCAGTAACGATTCAGCCCTAAGAAACACCAGGCTGGAAACTTCAAGCGATACAGGAAGAGATGGGGTGTTTACGCCGCC